CAAGAAATCCCCATACAGCTTCTCAGACTCAGCGCTCCAAGATTTTAAGAATCATTTTTCAAGCTCCTGTGCTGGACAAGGTGACAGCACGTTCAGTCATCCGGCGAGGGACACGGAGTTGACCTCTCCTCCTTCGATGTCGAAGCGAGCAGTGTTGGAGCGCTGAGACGTGGGTCTGAACCACATCGGACCATCGCGCGTCCTCGTGGATGAGCTGTTAACATTATACAAAGAAGGATTCAAAGCACCAGATAAACGGTTACAACAATAATCCTGATTTTTAATGGTTACAACACATGACAAAATACAGAGTATCTGGGCCTCAACTTCTACTACCCATGGCGATCACATATATCGGGATGGTCAGTCCAGAAGGAGCCCGTGTAAGACCTATCATAATATTTATACACCAGTGGGTGAGGAGTTTGTCGGTTGCTCTCCTACAAGTCCATCTTATTGGGGAGATACAAACGATAGCCCTGTCGCAGCGAATGCAGCTCAAGCAACCGAGGGACCCGGAACAGCTGAGAGTCTTTAAGTTTGAGGTAAACAGACTACTTTTGTGTTCCGGCGCGAACTGCTGCAGCCTGCACACACACACACTTTGCATAGATGTCTTTCTCTCTGGCCCCTCCCATCACAGTTTAATAGATACGCTTTCACATACTTTTACGCTCTTAAAGATCATTTTAAGATATAGTTGTTTATATTGGCAATGAAAGTAATACCTGTAAGTTACTTTAGAGTCACACACACATTTGATCATGCGCGCCCACCACACAAATGTCACATGTGTATCTGAGAAGCAATATTGGCTCTACCTGTGTAACACCTCATCGTCCCATGACATTCTCATTAGTTAACTTGCACAGGGTTATGAATTGTCCTATTACCTAAGCTTCTATACACGTCTGCACATGGCAGCACATACACTTAAAAAGACTAACATCTATTGATAATTCTACAACTGTGTGACACTAACGTATCAAGACTTTTAGCAGTCTTGCATCGGAGTATGACCCACTCTCTATGGAGTCTCCTCTGTACCTTTACCGAGGAAGACCTCTCTTGGAGTTCCTCTGTTAATTGCAAAGACCAAGCATAATTAGCAAAGAGACTCATGGGCCTCTTCTAATATCTGGAAACTGTAATTAAATTATAGTTATATTGAGAAGGTCCAAGAATTGACATAACATTTCCTCCTTTTATTAATTTAAGTTTCCAGATCATACAAAAAACTCTTACAGATAACCTACTGAGTTCCGCCCTTGAAAGCCCAAAATGACTTTCTGAAAAATACTTATCAACGGGTAATTATTTCACTCAAGTCAGAAATCACAGGTTGTACTGTACCTTACCTACTCACAAATAGCAAAAAAAACACCTTCTGATTATAACACAAAAGTGGAAGAAAAGACCATTTGCGCTAATCTACTTCTACTTAAAATGGGACATCATTTTAAGAATATATATAAAAAACCTGTCTATAATTAAGAGGAAAAAATTGACTCGTCCATTCAAGTTTAACACACATCCTATATATCAGGTGACTTTCAGAATAGAGTAGGACAAAAAACTCATTTTGAGAAAACGACCTTTAAAGATTGCTGTGGAGCGCTACCTAAACCCTCCTGTTCTCTGGATGACAGGTTGCGCCTCCAGGCACTCCGTGAAGGTATTTGATGTTCGGGGTCATTTGTTTTTTGTATAACCTTGCTTCGTGCAAGTGACAATTGTTTGTCGTCTTCTCTGTGAAAGTCTTTTTCGTCGTTCTTTTGCCATTTTGAGATTTAAATTTCTAGTGGAAAGCTAACCAGGAAGTGTTTTAGCACACCACGTGACGCATCTGAACGAATCACGTTGTGAGAAATTAACACCAGCCAATGAGATTTTGTTTCTTGGTTTAAGACAATTTTGTACTTTCACAATTGGTTGCAGATACAAAGGAAATGACCATATTTGGATCCGATGAGATTGTGCAGGAGAAACAGAGCTTTCCAACGATATCTCTGATGACATGGTGCAGACCGCGGTCGCGGTACATTATGTTACGTTAGAATGTTAACTTTGGTGAATATAGGAGAAATCTACGCAAATAGACAAACTATAGTAAAATAAACACTTAAATGTGTATTTTGTACGTTTTCCTTCCAAAAGCCTGAAAGAAAACATGTTATGGAATCAAAATTGACCAGTGCATGAAAAACGATGTTTTTGCCTGCCGTGTCTCGCCTTAATAATAACAATTCAATTCAATTCAAAACCTTTATTTATTCAGGTGAAAACCCATTGAGATCATTGACCTCTTTTTCAATGGTGACCTGCTGCAAGTAGGTTCCAACATGAATACAAATATGACAGAAAAACAAAGAGGACATCATATGGCATATTTACATTGACTACAGTTTGTATGACGTACAGTTATTGGACGATTTTTTTGACTCCCAATCCAGATCCAAAGAAAAATGCCTTGTTCAGACAAGGAGTGTCACTTCGGGTCCTTTTCGATACAGTGATCACTGGAAAAATGGACACGACCCTGATCCACTAGACAAAATATAACTACGTGGCCAGGTAATAGGCACTAGTTCGAATCTAACCGGCGGTAGTTTCACGTGACCTAAAACTGTTTGACATTTCGTAATTGGGGTAGTAACATGGAGTACATACGTTTCCCAGTCCAAACGAAAGTGATTGACATGCACGCGCGAGTTAGTGAACCATAGAAAAATACATGTTTCGGTTACAATCCCTTTGAAGGTAGGATGTAGACGAGGGACTAGAGTGCCGGCATAACATTTACCGATGACGGACTCTAGCTTAACGAGACCAACATAATTTACATCGGTTGACGATCTGACAGAATCCCTTATGTCGAAAAATCTACGCGTTCGCGGCGATTAAACCTCTGTCAGACGTTTTTTCCTTACTTCACTCGTCAAACCAGGTAATGTACAAAAATTTCGGTGTCCAAATCTACGATAGGTTAGCCTTTTACAACCATAGACATTTANCAATATTGTTTCCACATAACGAGCATTTTGCGCTGCTCTTTTCCAATGTGGAAGCAGAATGTGTGAAAGCATACAGCACGATGCGGGGTGTGTCTCTAGACATCTCTAGAGACACACCCCGCATCGTGCTGTATGCTTTCACACATTCTGCTTCCACATTGGAAAAGAGCAGCGCAAAATGCTCGTTATGTGGAAACAATATTGAAGAGAAGGCTCCGTAACACATTACTCTAAGGATCGAGTTCAGACATGGCTGTCTTGAACACTATCATCAGAGTGTGTTCTAATGAATAAATAAAGATTCAGCCGATAACACGAAAGCACATGGCTACTTAACATGCAGAACAACGTCATTTTGCATGCTAAGTAGCCATGTGCTTTCTGGGGCTAAATCTTTATGGTAAACTGATTTAACCGTTAAAAGTTCGTTCAAAATAAGAGTCCCGATCTTATTACTATCAAAATAAAAGTGAAAAACAAAAACTTTACCATAGGAAAAATATACGGCATACAAAATATTAAATTACTTCTCTAAAAGGTAACTACA